TCTCTGCCTGCGTCCATCACCAAGATGGCCACCGGCAGGCGTCAATTAGATGACCGCGCGTGCCCGATGACGTCACTGCGAGGTGTCACCCTGTCTCCGTTCCGGGTGACACCCGGCCTCGGGACGCCCCTAATAGGTAGTATTAGTAGTATCACCAAGGATATATTACTTGCAGTGTAGGGTATAGCCAAGGGATGCCGGGTCCTTCTCGCTGAACCGTAGCTCACTACTGTATATAGTACTAATGTCGGGGGTCAGAGGAAGGGGAACACAGTTGGGAATGTTGTAATAAAGGCCACTCACTGCTGCTCTCTCTCTCCTTGCGCAGGGTGACTGGTCTTGTCTCCTCCCCCGCCTGTAATAAAGGCCGCTCACTGCTGCTCTCTCTCTCTCCTTGCGCAGGGTGACTGGTCTGGTCTCCGCCCCCTCCTGTAATAAAGACCGGTCACTGCTGCTCTCTCTCTCCTTGTGCAGGGTGACTGGTCTTGTCTCCGCCCCCTCCTGGAATAAAGACCGGTCACTGCTGCTCTTTCTTCTTGTGCAGGGTGACAGGTCTTGTCTCCGCCCCCTCTCCAGGCAACCTGTAGTGGGAGGGGGCCTGCTGGGTCCCTCCCACAGCTCTGCTCTGTGCACAGGCTATGTACAGCACAGGGATGATGTCTCTTCTAATTGGATTGCAAAGGCATTTGGTGCACACAATGTGGATTTAAATCCTTTGTGGCTATAGAGGAATATATATATATATATATTTATGTTCCCGGGGCTCAGCTTTAAGTCACACGCTGCGTCTAATTTTGGCCCAGTGGTCCTTTAAGCGCGATTCATATCCTACATTGAGTGGAATTCTATGGCTGAGGTTACAGTTGGTATCTGGCTGTGTGTTGTGCTGCACAAACAGGAGCAATCATCAGACAGGCGAGCCTTTCAGACGCATTGTGCAACACACAGCGTTGCAGCAGCTGGAAGGCGGCCGATTGTGTTTGGGTGGCATCGCTGTGCGGTGAGTAATACCTCAATACATGAACCTTGTTGTGAAAGCTGAATCCAGCCTGTAGCACTATCAGCATTTAACCGTGTCACTGCCTGGAGGGGGAGGAGTCAAGTCTAGCATTTCCATGTTCTGCATTGCCTCTTAACCAGCAAGGGTTAAAGATCAGAGCTGTGCAGTGGCAGTTGGGGTGCACTGGGGGGGGTTAAGGGGAAGGAGAGGGTCTCTGGGTCACTGCAGGGGAAGGGAAAGTAGGGGGGCAGTGGGAGGGGGGTCATACTCAACACAAACACATCATCACGTGCTCTGTGTTTTCATCCTGCTGTGACACAAGGATTGCTCAACAGCCTGCGACCTGCCGAGACGCGTCAAACTCCCAGCCTATCACCAATGCAGCTGAGCACAAAGACCAGAGCCAGGCTTATCTGTAGCAGATCAACAGGTGGTGTGGAACTACAAGTCTCAGCATGCTCCATCAGGCAAAGAGTGTGCAAAGTCAGCCAGTGCTTTGTCAGGCACATTGAGACTTGTAGTTCCACAACAGCTCAACCAGGGCTGTATCGGGCACGTTGGGACTTGTAGTACCACAACAGCTCAACCAGGGCAGTATCGGGCACGTTGGGACTTGTAGTACCACAACAGCTCAACCAGGGCTTTGTCGGGCATGTTGGGACTTGTAGTTCCACAACAGCTCAGCCAGGGCTTTGTCGGGCACATTGGGACTTGTAGTTCCACAACAGCTCAGCCAGGGCTTTGTCGGGCATGTTGGGACTTGTAGTACCACAACAGCTCAGCCAGGGCTTTGTCGGGCACGTTGGGACTTGTAGTTCCACAACAGCTGGAGTTAGTGCGATTGCTCATCGCTGTATGATGGCCCTGCGCATGCATGCAACGCCGTCTTTAGATGCGTTTGCGTCTTTTGCATTACGGCGCCTATACCTTGCACCGTCGCAGGCATAGCCTTCGCTTTCTTACACTGCCTTTATTTTTTTGCAGAATAAGTACACTTTTTTACCATAAGGTGCGCAAAATCACTTGTTACCTGTGTTTTGTGCGCTATGATTTGTGCGGTCGCGGGTTAATGGACAGGAAGTACAGCAGGGGCCTCATTTTTTTAAATGGTCTTCCTTGGGGTGAATAACAGCGTGCACCTTCTATGCCGCTGCAAAACGCATTCCGCGAACAGGACGTTATACATTGAGGGGGATTTATCAAAACTGACAGAAAGTGGACCAGCTGTGCATGGCAACCAATCAGCTTCTCTATTCACTTTGTTCAGTTAAGCTTTGAAACTGAAAGAGAGAAGCTGATTGGTTGCCATGCACAGCTGCTCAACATTCTGTCTGCTCCAGTTTTGATAAATTCCCTTCAATGTATCAATGATAAATCTATGGAGAGACTTTATTATATTACGCTCAGTTTCACCAGAAACATTGAAGGTTTGCATTTCTCTAAAATTTCAGTGAAAATCTGGAGATTTCGGAAGAAACGTGCGCCCTTTTGGGAAATTATTTGGAGCCAATGAGGCAACTAATGTTTTTTGGTGGCTTTTAATGGTGCAATGTGTTTTAGATGGCTTCTGGGGGTTAGGCAAGCTCCTTCCAAGTATCCTGGACATGTTCCAAAAAATGGAACCTCATAAGCTTATTTTTTTTACAAAAAAAAACCAGTGAAAAGAAAAGGTAAAACAAAACATTTTAAATACCTCTCCCTTCCCCCTAACAAATTACCTAAGATGCTTTAAATTGCACCCCCAAAAAATAAAAAAAAAACCCTAAATACAATCCACCCCAAAACTAAGTAAAGTGCCCTAAATAAACACTTCATTTATTACTGGACAGGAGAAGCAGGTTTGGGGGGCAGCATGTGTGGACTGAGATACACAGAAGGAGCATAATGACCATTCCACTATATAGATACAGGTCACATTCATTGAGCAAAGCACCCAAAAAAGTGTGATGTCACCCATAGCAACCGCATTCCTTATTTTATATGAAATATTAAAACCTGATTGGCTGGAATTCTTCTATCTCTCTATCTCAGCTCGATTCATTCCAGTGTGTTCAGCACATTATCATCCAGAGAGCTCCTGCGGCCCCCCAGGTGATAGATGGGCACATCTCCATAATGGACGCCAAGGAGAAGACTGCAGAACGGATTCTATTTAAGTTCAAAACAAAACCCCTGATGAGGAGAAGATACAGAGATCTGCACCACAGACCTACAAGACATGGAGCAGAGGAGACCATGATCCCTCCACCATACACAGAGCACATCAGAATCGACGCAGGGATACCGATGGTTCTGGTGCAAATTCTGCAAGTCAGCTTTATTGTATAACATTGTATATAAAA